CCCCTTTGTTTGTAGTCACCCTCCTTGGAGACACCAGCTTAGGCTGTTCCTCTGTTGTTTCACCTTGATTAAATTATTTTAAGGATCAAGGCTCTGCCCTTGGGGGTGAGCTGGTGAGGAAACCTGGAGTGAGTGAGTGTGGGGGGTGCAGCTGTGAAGGTGTCCCTGTCCCAGCTCAGGTGGTGRCAGTGGCTACCAGAGGGGCTCCAGCATGGCCAGCAGGGACATTCCTGTAACAGGGACATCCACAGCACCTGCAGGTTCTCTGATCGAGCCACCTGGCCAATCTGGGTGAAGGATTTCATCCCCTGGGCTCAGCTCAGTTCTTTAAGCAGGGGTGAAATGCTGTTTTTTCAGACATTATTCAATCCTCACAGAACAGTGTGCAGTGCTCCTAGACCTACCCTGGCATTTCATCACAAGTTTTGATTTCTTAGGGTGGAACAGCTAAGCCATGGACACCATTCTGGGCAAAACCAGGAGCYAGGGAATGAAGGGATGAGGAGGAGAGCCTGTGCCTTAATCAAAGGGGGCAGAGCTACAAAAGTGAAAATAAAGCCAGATGCTTTGAGTTGTTTCTATTGTATAGCTTAAGTGATTTTTCTGGGTCATTACTCAATGYGAGGATTTAAAGTTATTTCATTTTGCACAACTAATTACTCGACTTGCCTGGCAATTCTGGATTACAATGAGCAGTGCATAAGGTCATTTAGCAGACTAAGTCACAGCACATATTTTAGTCTAAACTAAATTTCATGGCAACCAGCAAGATTGTTTTTACCTCCCCCGAACAAAATGTTGAAATCTGAGGGTTTGAAATAATTATAATGACAGAAACCAAGCAAGTTAGAGCATTGAAAAGGTAACAGTGGTTGTTTATAGGGACAGATCTCAAACCCAGGGAAATTCTGTSTTCTATTTCTGACCTAGCAGGTATAAGGGAAACTCATTATCTCCTTTAACAGATGCAAACCTCGCTTTACAGCTTTCTTAATGCACCTGATTGTATCTAGGAAAGGAAAACTAAAGGTTCCCGTGGACTAGTTCAATCTTAATTGTGTTAATGGCAGCATCAGACCTGAAGGGAGATAAATAAAGCCTTGAAAGGACAGGAGGGAGCCACAGGCCCTACTCAGAGGAACATGGACTGCTATTTCAGCAGAGCTCCAGGCTCCAGCCTTAATTTCATGGAGGATATTTATGAAGATAAATACAATTTATGAAGATCTTTTGTCAAAACTGCTGAGCGCACAAGAAATCATGAGAACTGTCGCCTCTTCTGGGTAAATGCAGTAAGTGGAGCGTGGTGCAGAGGACAGAAGCAAGCACAGGGGAGGAAAGGGGGCAGAAAGGTTTAGGGAATGTGACAGGACCTGCCAGAACACAGCCCCTCCACRGACTATTCCCATAAATGATCAATATGTGAGAGGGAACATCAACATCTTTCCCATCTGCAGCAGCCACAGGCTGAGCCTGCTGAGCACCCAGCRTGGCCAGGGAACTCCAGCCAAGGAAACTCTATCTAGAGATCATAGGAAATTCAAGGAAAAACAAACATTTCCCTCACCGGAGACCTAAAGTAACCTCCCAGCTGGGCAGTGAAACCCTCTGGGTCTCCCCCACCCATGCACACACATCCTGAGCCCATCAGCATCCCTTCCTGTTCCCCAGCTGGKCTCCTCCTCTGGGAATAAGCAAACTGCAACAGCTCTTGCAGAAACCTCACCAGGGCTGTCAGATTTTGCAATCAGAGCAGCTCTTCCCCTTCCCTAACCAAGCTCTCCTCCTCACCAGCCAGAACAGAGCAACCAGCTCTCAGATAAACTTTTATCAGYGAATGAAGCAGCTCCCAGCAGGTGGATTTGCTGGACAGAGGGATCGTCCTCTTTCCTCCTGTACATCTTCTGAGTCTCTCAGGTGGGGTTGACTGCCAGTTTTATTGCCATGGCACTGTGTAGTGTGCAATAGCCCCGTTTGGGTCAGCTGTYCTGGCTGWGTCATCTCCCAACACCTTGTCCACYCCAACCTAGTRACAGTGGGGACAGAAGGKTGAAAGAGGAAGCCTGGATGCCATGGAGGAGCTGCTCAGGGTGTTATCCAGAGGGGTTTCTCCAAAAATCCAAAGCACAGCACCACRGGGGCTGTGGCAAAGCCAGATCCAGCACATTCTTGCACASAGCAGGAGCTGGCTGGGGACATCACGTTGGTCCCAGCTGCCAAATGAAGGTGCTCACACAACTGCTACCAACTGAATGAAGCCCTGTCAGCGTTGAATGCTGGCTCTGATGGGGAACAAAACCAATGTGGGCTCCCGTGGCACAGATCAATGGCTGGGTGGATCTCAAGGTCCCTGCTTGGAGGCCAYTCGATGTGTTAAAGCATTGCTTGGCTGCACAAAGCCAGGGCAAGCRGCCCAAAAAATGGGCTTTTAATCACTCCACATGAAGAAAAATTGGAGTTTGCTTTGGAGTGCTCACAGGCTGAGGCTGCTCCTGGGAGGGAGCCTGGGGGATGCTCCCCTGCCTGCCCCGAAGAACTGCAGTGCTCAGTGTGCCACAGCCATGCCACCGCGCCTGTCTGGCTCTGTCTTTGCAGGATTCACTCTGGAAAACCCTTAGGAACAAATGCAGTCTGCTCTGTCCCCTCATTCCCCCACACATCCACCTGCAGCAGCAAGGGTAGCACTTGTCCCAGCTCCAGGCAGAGCCAGATCCCTTTCCCTGCCCTTGGCCAAGAGAAGAGCTCTGCAGTCACTGACCCACATCACGGGCTCTGTGCCCGCGTTCGGGCAGCCCCAGCCCCGGCACGGAGCCAGCGCCTGCCCTGGCACCAGCGGCGGCAGCTTCTCTTCAAAACCATGTTTTCAATTAGGGCTCAACTCGCAGATTGTGCCTTTATTGTTGGAGGCCTCCTCCTGAGGCCCGCCGATTGATTTATGAAGTTGATTAAAATATTAAAATAATTCTGCGTGACGCTGCGAACGCCCCGTAATGTGCATTTTTCTCGGAGTTGGTGTCATTCCAATTAGCTGGAGACTCTCCTCTCTCCCTCCTYTTGTGAGCTGCTTTGTCCACTAACAAATTAGTTATTCTGGCCTTGCTTTTATATTTATTAGTGCTGATGCATATGTGTGTTTGCCGAGCAGTTCGGAACGGGCTGGTGAGCAGCGGGGAGCCCAGCGGCCAGAGCTGCTCTGAGTGGAGAAGGCATCCAGAACTGTCTAGCTGGAGCTATTTATTCCTATCTGCCTTATGTCACTGGCAAAACGAGGGTAAATCAGTGGAGAAGCTGGGAATGAAATCCATCTACCATGAAGAGCGAGCTCTTTCTCTTGGCTAAATGGGATTTCTCCAGGAGAGTGCCCTGAGTTTCCCATGACATTTTTTCTGTCCACAAGGTGATCTCCCCAAGAGCCCTGAACATCCTCAGTGTCTTTCCAAAAGCATTTTCTGGCTGTCAAAGAGCTAAAATACAACACTGGTCACCTCTGCACTGCTCACAGCCCCAAAGTTCRACCTCAAAGACCCCCCAAAGCCGCAAACAGAGCCACACACAAAGCACAAGGTCAGGGCCAGCACCCAGTGTCCAAATGCTGCACAGTCAGGAGTTAAAGGTTTGTGTCCTTTAAGGCATTCCATCCAGGGGATCCCTGGAGTCTCATGAGTGCTTTGGTGCTTCCCAGGCAGTGGGAGAGGATGCTCTGGATKCCCCACAAATGCCAGGGARCATGGGCAGGAGCTGGGTGGGGAGYGAGGGATCCACCTCAGCCAGCCTCATACCATGCACTAAAAAGGGAATTACTCTGTCAGCGAGGCACTGCTTTGCCTTCAGGCCCTGTGCCACCACGGGGCTTTGTGGCTGAGCCCCAWGGGGAAGGAAGGTGGCACTGAGGGAACAGGAAATATTTCACCACCAGATCAAGTGCTGTTCATGTCCCCTCTGGCCCCAGCACTGTGGAACAGCAGCAATGCTTGAGCCAGGCTTGGTCTGCAGCAGCTGCCTCTCACTCCCACCTCCCATTCTCCTGAGAATCCCTTGTCTGATGTGATGGTGCTGGGACCATGGGGCACTCAGGGTCTGCTCCCCACCAACACGAGTGCTCCCGAATGATTAATAACATCATGAGTGCATAAACAACCCACCTCCAGGTGCCTTCCCCCGCTAAACAGGGGCATTGCTATGGCAAACTTCATTTATCACTATTTAAAACCCAAACAAACGAGTACAGGCTGTTATAAATACGCTTACAAGACGGGCTGCACCGGGAAAATGGAAAAGAAAATGAGCCAAGAGCAAGGGAGGCGGCGTGTGGGAGAACACCTCTCTCCTCTGGGTTCTGGGGAGCGAGGCTGCTCTTGGCAGTGCCAGCAGGGCAGGATGCAAGTGCCCTAGTGATCTCTGGCACCATCAGCCCTAAGATGGGCTCTATAATACACCACAGATGTTTTTTTCGAAAAGAAAAATATCAGACCRGGGGAATATCCCCAAGTCCCTGGAGGAGAGAGATGAATTGGCAAATRGAAGGCTACAGCGATAAGGGAGTTTTTATAAACATAACCTAATTGTATTACTTCAAAGTCCTGAAGTTTATTGCCCTGTTTAATGATGTGTCTCGTTATTTATGGCGTAGCACAATGAGTCTGCATTGATTTAATGCACTTCCTTAAAGACCGTCATTGTCACAAGCAATAAAACAAAGCCATTGTGAGACAGCTCATTTATGTCACATCTCCATCAGCCGACCCCCGGCGTGCGGGGGCCACCGTGGGGAAGGGGTCACCCTGGGAAGGATGGAGCAAGAGTGTGGAAGCTGAAGGGCAGGAGCAAGCAGGGATGCTGCCAGTGGACATGTGCCACCTGACACTGGGCACTGAGTTTGGGACAAACCTCCTGCCTGAGCCAGCACAGGAGAGGCGTGATGGATGGAAAGCAGCAAATGACAGCTGGTGTTTGTTTGTGTGACCTGGTGACACCCTGCCCGTCCCCTGCGCCCTCCTCACCTTTCTGGTACTGGAGCCAGAGCTGCTGCTGGACCTTCTTGCTGGGGAAGTGGATGGTGCAGCTGAACTCGGAGCCATACAGCGCCTCCGCGATGTAGTGGGAGCCAAACTGCTGGATGAAGGAGAGCAGCTCCTCACGGCTGCTGTCCTTGTTCAGGATCTTCAGGATGTTTGCAAAGCCTGTGGGAGGGAGGAGGGGATGGGCAGGTTGGCCAGGCAGGGCTGGCAGCCACAAGCCCAGGGAGGGAGCCCCGGAGGATCCCTGCTCAGGTCATAYGAGGCCTCACATGGGTGCAGCTCCTCCTCTCTTGCTTCCACCTGATCCTTTGGGATCCTGCTGTTACCCAAGGCTGTGGCTCTGACTGCCCTGTAGGATTCCTCTCCCTAAGAGGTTGCTCAGATCATTTTACAGGGATGTGCACATGAACACGTGTGCACACACACACACACACACACACACACACCCATCCTTGCCAGCTCCAGTCTGTTTATCAGGCTGCTGGCACATCATTAACACTCTCCCCAGAGGACCAGCTTGGCCTTTGCTTGGCTGTGTCCACAACCAGAGATTTCCATCCCCAGTGCAAACACCCAGCACGACTGGTGACTTTTTAGGAAAGCTGGAGACAGCCCCAAGGGACACACAGGGTGCTGGTGGCAGCTCCGTGGGTGTGCAAAGGTCAGGGCATCACTTGAGCAACATCCACTGAGACAGCAGGGACCTCTGGCATGGGACAGGGACACGGACCCTTTGCTGCTCTGTGGAGGTGAAATATCCTGGAGTCACTGGTGACTTCACAGCACTTCAGCATCACTTAGAGCTGGCTGAAAGCCCCCTTTTGGTTCAGTGGTGGAACGGGAAACAGACTGCAAGAAAACACGTCATAACTGTCACCAAAATGAGATTATCTGGCTGGTTGGTTGGTTGGTTTATTGAAAGAGAAGGCTGGTTTAATAAAAAAAGCCAGAAGAATTCATTTTGAGCTGAACCCACGTATTTTTCTCAGCTTCGAGCAGGTTATTTCATTTTGGGGCTGTGCAGCCTGTTAGTGCTAAATCTTTTTTTTTTTTTTTTTT